ATTACTAATTTGTATGTGTTGATACTTTTACTTGGAGACTCTGCTAAACAGTCTCATTAGTTATCAGGGTCTACTCTTTGATCCACATAGGATTTCTTTGTGGATGAGGAAGCCATCTGTAAGTTATGTTCTTTAAAGGATTCTTCCTTTTTTTTTTTTTAATTTCTGGCATCTTTTCCACATCCTTATTTGCTCCTCCTTTTGGAAAGATGATTTAATGGACTAATGAATTTAGAAGACACTAGGTGTGTGTCACACAGTCCTTTCTATGCAGCTCCTCTGACATCCAGTCTTCCCCTAGGAAGCAGAACTTGCCACCTTCCAGCCTTTGACTATAGAAGGTCATCAGCCTGAGAGTCTGGAATCTGTGTAATTCAGAGATAAATTATCAGGAAATGCACTTGACTGGCTGATATAAGCCCGTTCTTCCATATCAGCTTTATTACGATGAGGCAATGTTTTTACCTTCTTTCTTAATTTGTTCTGACTTCGTGTGACACAAGGATGGTATTATTTATTATCCTAACACCTACACACCTTCTGGTCATTATGCTGCTACTGGCATTTGAATGTCCTTCTCCCTCCAGAATTCATAAATGACGCTTAATTTCCAATGCAGTAGTGTTAAGAGGTAGGACCTTTAAGAGGTGACTGGCCACGACGACTCCTCCCTTGAAAATGGCCTTGGGGGCCTTATAAAAGAGGCTTCATAGAGTGCTCTGATGTATTTTCGTCCTTCTTCCAGGCCCTGACTTCTCCTGTTATAGGTTGTTACCTGGATCCAAGCTGTTTCTGTGTTCTCATGGGTTCTTCTTTGATGTTAATGCTGGAATTCATTCACATGTCTTCTGTTTCTTACCCTAGAATCTCTCAAGTTGAGCCTGAGGAAAGGATACAGTGGCTTATGTTGATCTATCGTGTGATCCAGAACTGAAATTCCTTCTAAAGATTCTGGGTGTTAGCCGGACGTAGTGGCACATCCCTACAATCCCAGTAATCTGAGAGGCTGGAGCAGTAGAATCATAGTTTGAGCCCACCTTAGGCAAATTAGCAACTTAGCAAGACTCTATCTCAAAATTAAAAAAATAAATAAATAAATAAAAGGACTGGGGATGTAGGTCAGTAGGAAGGCTCTGGAGACAATTCTCAGTACAATATACGATAGTGCGAACCGTGGGACTTATATCCCTATCAGAAGCACAGAGCAATGGCTCAGTAAATCGATGCATTCAGTGAAAGATGTTTTAGATGATCTGTAAAAACCATAGTCTTTATTTCAACATTTATCTTTGTGCCTCATTTGTGGAAAATAACATTGCTTCAGGTGGCCTGAAAACGCAGAACGATGGCATTTTAATGATCTAATCACAAGGAAAGCTCCAAATCAGTTAATGCTGCATGCAGATACAAGGCTGAGAGAAATTTCTAATTAAATTTTCTTTTCTTTTTTTCTGACTTTTCAGCTTCCCTGGTGCCAAGGCCACATCTGGGCTACATACCATTATGTTAATACTGTAAGCTTTCAACGATTACCAGGGCTGCTATTCATGTATCTAGCGCCCACTTCAGAAGCGCTCACAGTGTTTCACAAGAGCCCACAGAATAAACAACGATTAGTGCAGCCCCATAAGAAGGTAGAAAACACTGAAGAAGAAATTTGGAACTCCTTCTACTGCGTATTATGCTTTAAAATAAGAAAAGAAAAAGAGGAGAGGGCAATGAGGAGCAGAAGAATAGGAATGACAGGACAGGGAAGGACAAGGCAGAAAGTCCTTGCCCGCTTCCTCCTCTTCCTCTTCCTCCTCTGCTGTGTCTCTCCCGTGAATCTGCTCGGTTTCACCTCCGCTTTCGCACTGCACCCTAATCCCTGAACTCATTGCCCTTTTCCCTTCAAATGAGCACTGGTGAACACTCTGTAATACTCTCTTCTGGTCTGTGAAGTCTTAGTCTATGTTTTCATGGCATTTCTGAGCCCTCTCTCCTGATATTATTTCCCTGAAAACCGTGTGTTTTCCTGAGGAATTTGGAAATGTCCTCTAGCTTTCTCCTCTCCTCCTAGCCACTGGAGAGCATCTCCCTTTCCACACATCCAACCATCCTGTCTGCTCCCATTACATTTCTAGCTTCTTCAATATCACTTCTTTGCTTCCCCCTCTTCCTCTTTCTGTTGTTTTGGCTGCTTTGTCTTCTGCCTTCTCTCAGTTAATCAGTATTTTGTTTATCACCAAATGGATGGCAAGCACTATATGAAGCTAAACATGTTATGAATCATCTCATTTAATAGTCAAAATGTCCCAGTAAAATATAGAGTATCAATGCCCCGCTTTTGCAAAAGACTCTTTTAAGGATCAGAGAAGTCAAGTAACTTGTCCAAGGTTACATCACTTATAAATGGTGGATCTTATTAGATCTTTTCCCTTGGCCGTAAAACACGGGCATGTTTGGTTATATAACAAAAACAAACACATCACCCCCTCAGAGGCATTGTTCTATTCCTCCCCTTTCATTCGCTGCTAACATGTCTGCCCACCAGACGGGTATCTATGCTTCTGTTTCTTCAACACTGCCTTAAATCTTTGTGTTCTCGCTTCTGTTCGCTGCCATTCTTCCCACGTAAGAGTGACTTCTCTGACCAATGGCCAATTTCTCTCCTAACAAGCGGCCTTTGGGATCCTTCTCCTTGACCCCTCATCGCATTGCTCTTTTTGATGATCCTGTCTTTGGCATTTCAGCTGCCTGCTGACATGGCTTATTAAACAGCCGCGCTCGCAGTCATAGGAATATGCTGGGTGATGGCACCATTATAAGCAGATGGCTGAAGCACTACTGTGTGCACCCCAAGGCCATGGCCATACATTTTCATTTCTTTTAGGGGTCAGAGGCATGCAGGGTCTTCAGAGATCTCCAGAGATCTAAAGATGTTTCAAAGGTCTCCCAAGATCTTCCAAAGATCCTTGGAAGGATCTTTTGTAGATTTAAAGCTATTTTTCAAGCAAAATAAATTACTTTTTTTCATTTTTATTAGTATATGCATTACATAATATATTATTTGTATTACATAACACAAATATTGCTATTATGCAATGTTTACATTCCATGTGGGGCACTGGAACATGTACATACTACATCTTAATTCCTTTTTTTTTAATTCCCTATCCCTCTCTCCCTCCCTCCTCCATCCATCCGTTGATCCTCTTTCTTCTTTTTTGTAAATTTTTGCAAAAAATAATATTTGCATTCCTTGTGTGGTTTTACCTTTTCTAAATGATATCTAATCATTTGCAGTGACTCTGTTTTTATAACTTAAATATTAAGGGCCTAGATAACTAAATAATATTAATACTTGCAACAAAATATAGCCCTGATAATGCTACAAATATTTTTGGTCTTGAGGGAATAAAGAGGTGGGAGGTAAGGGGGAGTTGTTCTCATCTTTATCTAATTGTTCATTAAAAAATGAATCTCCTAGGGATAGTTTGTATATAATTTTGTCTATGAGATTCTTCTAATTACTCTCACAGGAATATGTGTGAATATCACTGAATATTTATTTTCTCTGAAGATTTTATAGTACCTCAAATGAAAGAAGTAGTTCAAACAAAGTAATTACAGATTTTGTTCCTGCCCCATGGCCCAGAGAAAGTGGAATCTGGTTGATTAGAAGTTTGATGCATGTGGTTTAACATACCCAGGTTAATAGAGTTAGCAGATTTTAAAATGGAGAATATAGTTAACATTTACATAAAACTCTATTGAATCCAAAATACATTCACACGCATTATCAAATTTGCCTCAAATCCTTGGGTAATATGAGCATTCTGATCCCAGTTTGCAGGTCAGAAAATAAAAGTTCTGACAGTTGACACTATTTCAGCAAATTTCATTAGCAGTCAGTATAGACCAAAGTCTGGGGACCTTGCAACCCTGCCACCCACAGATACACACACACACACACACACACACACACACACACACACGGTATCCCTGTGTCTATAATGTGACCCTGCTCTTCCAATCATCAGTGACTGGAACAGCTATGACCCGGGCTGGACCACTTAGCTCTTTTTTCCTCCTTTTTGGAAATAAAATCAAGAGACAAAACAAGTAGCAAAAGATTGCTGAGCACTGTGGGAAGGATCTAGAAAAAAGTCTAAAAACTCAGACCACAGAGACTTCGACTTTGTTCCTCCCTTCCCAAACACAGGTCATTTGGCTTTTTCTTTGACTTTGTAAGTTACTGGATCAGAATACTTCACTAATTTGAAAGGCACTTCTGATATTTACAGCTAAACTTTCTAAACTGTGAGGGAACTCTCGGCACATGATAAATGCTCTCTTCTTCGCACAGCCTCTGATATTCCCCATGCTGTCTGTGATTGACTAACTAAATGATCAATCTGTGTAGGTAACTATCATAAGTTTAAATATGTATAAAACAGTGATATCTTAGTAAGTTTGAGAGCTCTTAAATAGCACCTATTAGAAAATATGTAAGCACTTTACACTTTAAATTATGTGTGAGTTAGTTTGGCTACATAAAGACAGACACTAATATCTAGAAAACTAATTGGAATATTAACTGTGGAATGCAAAAAAAATTTATTTCTATTTTAATTAATTATAAGGTATTGCTTACTCATTACACAAAAATTGGCATTGCCTAATAGGTACAAGGCCTTATGCTAGAGATCCTTGCTTATATTTTACTTTATCCTAACCACAGTTTTTAAGATAATCATTATTCCTGCTTAAAGACGAGAAACTATTTATGCACACATGCACATGATTGTAACTATCTAAACTATTGAACTAAACAGAAGTTTGTAGTGTGAACTAACCATAAAATATATGGAATAGTGGTAGCTAAAAAGTGATACATAATATTTATAAACATTTGGAGCAAAAACATGCTAAAAAAGAAAGCTTACTTGGAGAACCTCTTCAAATCTATCTCTGTAGCCAACGTAAGTATGAAAAAGATTCTAAACAACTGTGTTGTACTTGGCAAAAGGTGAGAGAGACATTTGGGTCATTTTTGCTACTCAGGCAGGCAGGAGGTACCATGGCGCTACGGGAAATGAAACCTTGCAGGTGTCTTTGATGTGAAGATGATTATCTACATTGCTCAAGACAGTATGCTCGTACTTGTCAATAACTCCACAGCTTGGCATCAGAAGGAAGGTCTCCTATAAAAATGTGAGCAGACGCCGTTTTATCTGTCCATATAGAAGTGAACAGTAGTATTCTACCCACCCCACCCCCATTACTAAATTGCCATTTGGGAGTAATTCTTTTATTTATCATTTTTAATTTCATAAGTAATCTATATTTACTTGAAAAACGTGGACTTATAACTAACAAAACATAACTATACAAACCTCTCCCACTGATAGAAGGGTGGATGTTCTTCAATATTTTTTCAATATCTACATATACAAATTTATATATTTATAAAAATTAGGTCATTCTATTCCATCATTTGCTTCATTTTATGCAACAAGATATTACAAGTATTTTGTTATGATAAAGAAACAAGTCGGCATGAATCTTCCAATGCAGAAGAGGAATTCCTGCCTTAGTCCTGGTTTATCTTTTTACCAATATCTATATAGCAAGAAGTCTTGGTGCGGGAGCTCCCGGCCTGCGCGACAACAGACCCAGGAAGGACCCAAGGACCCCAGAGGGGGTTTTTTTCAGCTGCCTGCCTACCTGCCTGTCTGCGATCACCCGGCGGCGTGCGCGCGAGCTCCCGGCCTGCGCGGGAGCTCC